GGGGCGGTCAGCTCCATGCGGCCAGGCGGTCAGCTCCATGTGGCCGGGCGGTCAGCTCCATGTGGCCGGGCGGTCAGGTCTGCCTCCTATCCCTGTGCAGGTGTCCCGTCCCTGGCTGTGATGGCCAGGGCCACATCACCGGGAAGTACGCCTCGCACCGCAGCGCGTCGGGGTGCCCCTTGGCGGCCAAGAGGCAGAAGGACGGATACCTCAACGGCTCCCAGTTCTCCTGGAAGTCGGTCAAGACAGAGGGCATGTCGTGCCCCACGCCTGGATGCGACGGGTCAGGGCACGTCAGCGGCAGCTTCCTGACACACCGCAGGTGAGCACCACCCGCTGGCACAGCGGCAAGGCTGATGGGGGTCCCCTCCTACGTCACCAGCATTTAGAGTGAGGACCGACCGACCATCCCACAGACCCCCAGAGTCAGAGGCTGGAGGGGAAGCGGCCTCCCACCCCTGGCCCCCTGCAGGTCGGCTGTTCCCACAGGGGGTTCTGGTTCTTAAAAACATAGATCCCCATAGGAAATAAATTTCTCTCTCACACACACACACCTCCCACACAAGTCCTTGAAGGTCTGATTGTTTATTCTGGCTGGAAACCTCAGCAGACCCCCGTGGGGAAAGCAATGCCTTGGTCCCGAGGCCTCACGTTGGGGCCCACTCCCAGGTGTGAGGCCGTGCCCCCCTCTCAGCCAGCCCCTGGTTCCTGGTGTGAACTTTAAAACAAGATACAGCCAGATGTCTGAGGGGGGCGTGTTCGGCGGCTGATGGCCCCGTGTGGCATCACCCTGTGAGGGCGAGGGCTAGCAGGCCCGGTCGGGTCTGTGCCTGGCCCATGGAGCAGGTCAGAGGACCCGGAGAGGCCGTCGCCGCCCATGGAGCTGGCGCTGCGTCTGGGGACCTCGCATGGCCCACGCTCTGCTGCCCTTCGCCACCTCCCGCACACACACCCTGACTCATCCCACCAAGCCACGGCGACGGCGTGAGCAGGCATGAGCAGGCCAAGAGGGACGATGGCGTGTTCGGAAACACGCGACTCGGAGCCCTAAAGGTGTTTAGGGAGGGTTTTTTAATTATGAAGGAGATTCCTGTGCGGGCAGAAAATCCAGCTGGTGCGAGCGAGTTTGAAGTCGCGCGTCCCCAACCCAGGCGCTCAGCCTCCTCCCAGTCAGGCCAGCCTCTGGGAAGCCCGGGGCAGAAATGCCCGGCGTGAAGGACGTCAACACCTGTAGACATGGTCCCCCCGACAGAGCCCGCCCCTCATCCCACAGCGCCTGGCCTGGCTGCACAGCGACCGCGCCCACAGCCTGGCGTGCCGGGGCTCCGTCGTCACCCCACGCACGCCACCTACTGCTGTGGCCGCCTCTTCAGGACACATCCCCACCAGCAAAGCGCGATTTTGGAGTGCTGACGGGCACAGCGACTTGCCCTGCAGAAAATGCCCATTTCCTGAGGCTTTGGCTGCTCCTTACTCCCTGGCAGTTGTGGAACTTGCCGTGCGCCACATGGCGGGGGTCCAGGGTGCACGGAGCCCCTTCCCAAGGCAGCCTCCCAGCTCCTGCCAGGGCCCCAGGGCTGTGTGCAACGCCCCTCTGCCGCGTCCTGCTTGACATGGGCTGCAAAGGAGTTGAGCCCAGCGAGCCGTGTGGCTGAGCTTGGCGCA